ATGCCTGCTGTGTATTGGTTTTTCACTATTTGCTGGGAAAGTGAGTATGATTATACTGGTTCTAAACTTCCCACTTATGCAAAGCTTATGGTTTGTTCACTGGGAAGCATTCACTATTCACAAGGGAAGGAGACTGGACCATGGCAAGTTCAGGTCAGCATTGAACTCCAGCTGTGGTTCAAAGCTGAGAAAACTGAAAAGGAATGACCACAAAATTTCCTTGGTAGTACTCCATCATAAGAAACTTCTGTGCTGCCAGGCTACAGTTATTCACAATTGAGAATCTAGTAAATTATTATTTTTGGACTAAATTGAAAGTTTCAGATGGGGGAATTCAAGGCCTTGCTCTCTGACTCTGTGAAATTGGAATTTGAGGTTCTGTTTCAGAGTCATTTTCAAACGTGAAATAGATGCAGTGGAAGAGTGAGTTAATTTACTTCTCTCTATGAGCTGTTTGGAGATATCTTACCAAACCTTTACATGTAGCCAATATTGAGTATCACCCACACATGTCCAGGAAGCTGTGAATACTAAACTGAAAACTTTCCTTGTTTGAATGGCTGTATCAGATAAATGAAGGCTACTATTTCCCTGTTGAAAGAAATGCATAATTAATGCAATTTGGAAATTATATGGTATAAATTTGAAAACCTTTAAAGACCATTATTTGAGAAATCAAGGCAAGCAAATTATATTTTTCAAGTGTTCACAGCAGTAAAGAAGAATGCTTAATCATTTACTCACACAAACAGATGAAAGCTGCAGAGGCAATCTTGCTTCCAGGCATATTGCAAGCTTGGAGTGATGATGTCAAATGGGTATAAGACAGTTAAATAATTCTATTTGTCCTCACATACACAGAATATATTACTAGAAAGAAAAAGTTTTAAATTCAAATTTTTCTCCCCCCTCTAATAATGTTCTTGAACCACAGGGATCCTGGGTAGGTCAGTAAACTGAACTCCTGTCTACTTACTGGGGTGAAGAGAACAGATTTGTGAGAAAAGCTGGGATCTGAAACTGGATTTAATACCATCTAATAAAACAAGCCGAGATGCCACACATAAAAATGAAGAGAGGCAGGACATCTCCTAAACCTCCTGTTGCTTCTTCTGCACCTAACACTGAAATGGTCATTGGGATGCAAAAAATTCACTGACCCAGTACCACCAAAAGGAAAATTAATAATGGATCCTACAACAATTACACAAAGATTTTATGAGTAAGAGTTTCTTTTCATTATTTTAAACCTATTTTAGAGGTAAATGTAAATGTAAATTCCCTGAAATCCCCCTCCCTTGTTCATCCCTGCCCACCCTGTCCTTTTACTTTCTACTCCCATTATTTCAAGTAGCATATTTTGCAACCAGCATACACAAGGCAGACATCACTGGCAGCATGAGGAGGAAAAGCATCACTGCAGTGTGCACGAGGCAGCACAAAACCGGAGCAACTAAAACACAGTCCAAGCTCCACTAATAGGATCTGTGGGAGACCACCCTTTTTTAGCAATTAATGAAGAGAGGTCAGATTTTAATGCCTTGATCATCTCCCAGTGTGAGGGTAGCAGCATGACAAATTAAACTTGATCTAAAAAATTGCATTTTTAATCCTTTTCCTGCTAGGCTACACCACCTCAGATGATGAAGTAAAGGAAGAAAAACAAATTGTAATGTTTTTCCCCTCAAGTGCTCTGCAGATTTTAATTCTTCACTTGCACATTGCCATCAACCTCTTCCTGCCCTGAATCAATTGCTCTCCACCCAGCTTCACAGGCTGAGTAGTTCCCATATGATTACACTTCTGGAAGAGATGGAATCAGGCCAAGGATTCAACTGATCCTAGGGATTTTCTGTTTCTGGAGGCAGATCTCCTTGTCTGTCCACTCTCTTTCCTAATACAATTCTCAGTACAAAACTAACATTATCAAATTCATACCCCTGTACTGTTACCTTGCTGCATTACAGATGCCATCACCATTTCATGCCAGCCAACATGCACTTCCCTGCCATAGGCTGTGGTGTTTCATAGCTACAGCACACGCCCTCCATCACCATTTCATGCCAGCCAACATGCACTTCCCTGCCATAGGCTGTGGTATTTCATAGCTACAGCACATGTCCTCTACACAATGGCTGTGTGCCTCTGTGCCTCAGAGTTTGCTCTTAGCTCAGGAGGGGATCAGAATGGTGCAGATCCATCAACGTTGTGGCCTGCACGCTTGGCAGTGAGGAGTAATTTTACATAATTCAGAATGAATTATGATAAAAGGGTACCCACAATTGTATTTGGCACTTTTAATAAAACAATGTAAATGTCTTTTTTTTTCTCCTAGTCTCTTAAATTTATTTTAAACACACCAAAGAATGAAACTTCCTTTAGCTATGGAAAAAAAAATTCCAGTTTCAAAAAGTAGTTCTCAGTTCCTCTAGGAGCTGATGAAAATAAAACAAAATCATTTACTTACTAGAGTTAACAAACATTTTATTTTAGTCATACAAGGAAGTCTTATTTGAAAGTATGTTTTTAAATTCAAAATCAAAATGACACCAGAAGTTTAAACTTTAAATCTGTAATAATTACATTATTTTTCTGCAGTAATTTTCTCAATGTTCTACCAAAAGTGGAAATTTGAAAGATGATGTGAAATACTAGTGCAAGGAAAATGGACATGGTTCAGTATAATGCTTTAAGACCCCACTCCACATTTATGGTCTAATTCCTCTCTAGTGGTAGTAGTAACAACAGGAAAGAAAGAGAAGCCTTTTGTTGCTCTCTCACCGTTGGTTTTTCAAGGGTTTGAAAACCGCTAGGAAAATTAAGTGTCAGAAGACAAAGTTTCTGTAAGTAGAGCTAGAACTGAAATCAAAGTGATGTCAAAGCATGCATGTCAGCAGGGAGCAGCCTGCCAGAGCCCCTTAAACTTTTAAGTTAAAATGAAACAAAATACAAAGGCTCCCCCAAGGTTCTGCTCCAGTGTGTTCTTCATTTAGAGCTCTTGGTCTAGTGTTGCTGTGAACTCTCTGTGTGTGGAGACACAAGGCTTGACTCCATGTTTCTCAGAAGGCTGATTTATTATGTTAAATATTATATTAAAATGCTACATTAAAACTATACTAAAAGAACAGAGAGAACAGAGAGATCAGAAGGCTACAACAAGAATAGAATAGAATAACAAAATCCTGAGACTGCTCACAGCCTTGGCACAGGTGGCTGTGATTGGTCATCAATGGAAAACAATCCACATGCACCAATCACAGATGCACCTGCTGCATTCCACAGCAGCAGATAGTAATTGTTTACATTTCTCTCCTGAGGCTCCTCAGCTTCTCAGGAGGGGAAAAATCCCAGCAAAGGATTTCTCATAATATCATGGCTACAGTCTAGGAAGTTTTGCACAATTGCAGTGTGAGCCACTGATGTGTTGGTCATGTTTTCATTTGAAGACTCAGGGATGTCTGGCAGTTTTTTCTGGGCCATGCACTATGTTCACCTAGGGCACACACAACTCCTGGGAAGGCGGATGTGTGTCAGGCTTCTTTATTGGCTTCAGACACCATTATATCCCATTGCCCTGGGGACTATTTGCTGGGGAGCAGTTTGATTGAAATACAATATCTTTTGAAACTCTCTTTTTATAAAAGTAAAGTATTTTTAATCTACCAAAACATTACCACAGCCATGAAAAAGCGGCTCAGACCACTGTCCCAGTCACCCTGGGATCTTGGTAGCATGGGGATCAGAGCACAGGCAGCACCCACGTGAGTAAGGGATCTCAGCAAAACTCAGTCAGAAAGTAAGATTGCTGGGAGTCAGTATTTGGCTGGGAAGCTGCTTAGAAACACCTCAGTGCTCATCCGTTTTGGGAAGCACAGTGGGTGATTTGGCCGCTTGTTGAGCAGTATCTGACCTGGGTCCCTTCAGAACAAGAACACGGGACCTACTGCCTGGGGTGCAGAGCTAAGGCCTTATGGGATCCTGGTAAAGATCTCGAGCCAACCTTAGGGACCAGAGCTTTTACTCCAGAGACTTTGTGTTCCTGCTTGCAGCTCCCATAATGCTGGACAGCTTGATTTTGGATTTCAGAGGATGAATCCTTTATAGCCGACAGCCATGCTGGGTAACGGCATGACGTGCAAAACATCTGCATTGTTCTGTAAGTTCTCATAGGGGAAAGAGTCATTCCTGCTGCTCTACTGCAAAACTACTCCAGGAGAGAAACATTTATCTGGGATAAAGTCTCCCCCTCAGGATATGATCCACAGTGTCTAGTGTTCATGGGGTTGGTTCCAAACCAGCAGGGACCTGTGAAGCAGCTCTTGCAATACAAACTGCAGCCACCATCAATACGACTCAGTGCCGATTCTCTGTCTGCCACTTAGATTACCCGAGCATCAGCTTAAATTATAATCTGTTTTGCAGGAGTCTCATGTTTTTGGTTGTTTCCCAAAGTGAGTATTCAAGAAGAAAGAGTGGAAGTATCTCTGGAGTTGACACTCAGTATTGCACCTTCAGTTCCCAATTATACAGCAGCAAACTGCGACACCGAAGCGGGAGCAAGGCTCTCCCGGCTGAAACGGAAGGGACAGACGGTTCAGTGAAACAGAGTACAAGACGCAGTCAGGGCACAGGAATTTGTACAGGCCGGGGGGCTGCTGTGCATGTACGTGTAAATCCTGCCCGTCCAGACCCTAACCCGGGGAGGAGGGCATTGCTGCCCGCCCGCGGTGTGTGTCTGTCCCCGGCAGCGGGCAGCCGGAGGGGCTCGGCAGGGCAGAGCCAGCGCCGCGGCGGCAGCAGCGTCCCCCCTTCTGGGAGACACCGGCGGATGGGGAAAGATCGGGGACGAGCCGGGAGGCGGTGGGATGGGAGAGCGGAGAGAAGCGGGAGGGGAGGGAAGAGGGATGCGGGAGGAGAAAGGGAGGGGACAGCCAGGAGTCGGGGTGGGCTGCGGGGGGGCGACAGAAGAGATAATAAAGCCGGGGAGAAGAGGGAGAAGGAAGAGAGGAGCCGGGGAGAGCTGGACGAGCGGCGATGGTGCTGAGGGCATGAGCGGGGCCGGCGGGGCGGTCGTGCCCGGCGGGGAGATGGTGCCCGGGCGGCGGCGGCGGCGGCGGCTGTGAGCGGGGCGTCGCCATGGGCTGCGGGGGCAGCCGGGCCGACGCTATCGAGCCCCGCTACTACGAGAGCTGGACGCGGGAGACCGAGTCCACCTGGCTGACCAACACGGACTCCGAGAGCCCGCCGCAGGACGGCGGCAGCGCCGAGGGCCCCGGCCGGGAGCAGGGCGGCCCGCGCCCCGGTGAGTGCGGGAGACGCGAGCGGGCACCGCGGGGAGGGGAACGGCGGCGACACCCTGTGTGTGCTCCTACACACCGTGTGTGTGCACCTACACATCCTGTGTGTGCACCTACACACCCTGTGTGTGCTCCTACACACCGCGTGTGTACACCTACACATCCTATGTGTGCACCCACACACGCTGTGCATACACATACACACCCTGTGTGTGCACCCACAGATCCTGTGTGCACCGACAGCCGCTGCGTGTACGCGTACACACACACGCTGTGTGTGCATGGAGGGGGTGTGCGCCGATCCCCCCGTGTTCCTGCTGTGAGAAGAACGCCCTCCGCCGCTCCAGCCCCCCCGCCAAGAAATGCAGGCACCCGAGTCTGCTCTGATGCCGCGGCCCCTCGGAGCGCTCTGAGCGTCTGCCCTGCCCGGCCAGCCCCGCCGAGAACAGCTCCGGGACCGGGCAGTGCCAGGAGCGGCCCCCGGGACCGGGCAGTGCCAGGAGCGGCCCCCGGGACCGGGCAGTGCCGGGAGCGGCCCCGCCGCGCTCCGGGCTCTGGGCTACCAGAGCCGGTTCGAGCTCTAGAGACCCTCTCACGGCGGTACTCGGCTACGAGCGAGAGCGTATAGACGCCGTCAACTGTGAAACAATGTTATCCGAAGGGACAAGAACTCGGTCCTTGAGGCTCTTGCTGTGGAATACATGGCTTTTTCTTTTGCATGGCAAGTAATTTAGGAAATAAATTGAAATTAGGGAAGAGGTAGCTTTTTTCCACACTACCTCTGATGCCTTCTTTCATACAGAAAGTTGACCAGAGGGTGGGTTGGACAAGAACAGATCTGCAAGTTTGAATTTCCCAGTTCTTGTCAGCATGCTGCCTCCTCAGCTGTGCACCTGAGGTGTTACAGAAACGACAGGTATGGGAAAGGGATTGAGGTTCTCTGATCTGATGTGCAGTTTAAATTGATTAAAGAATTATTGTGTATTGCAGCAGTATCTAGAAAGCTCAGCTTAAGTCCAGAAATTCATTGTGCTAGATATTGTACAAATGGTTGCTGCACAGAATAATTACAATTTCCATGCAAAGCAGTAAATGCCTATAGGCAGGTTCAGATGTAAATAAGTAGCTTTACAGTCTTTTGTAGAAAGTAACAAAGCACCAGGAAGAAATTATGAAAGTGCAGGAGTGAAAATTCGCAAAGGTGGTCATCACAGGCCGGCTGGAACAGGATATCACAACTCTCTGCTGACCGAAATATGATAGGGAGAGAGAAGTCACAAAGGGTCCATGTTGTACTCCTAAAGGCTCAAGAAAGACTCTGTAGTGGTCACATGGGAAACTATGAGAATTTGAAGGCGAATGGGTCTATGAATACCATATTAAAGAAGAATAGATAAGGAATTTAAAGAGGACCAAGATGATGCTGACCAGTAAGTTCAAATTATAGGTAACAGTGTTGTCTCCAGCAGTGAAAGCTAAACAGAGTGTTAGCTTTTTACCCACACTTACCATTGTCTTAGCCATGTTTACTTTGAGTTGGTGCCTAATCATAAACAGAAGCTAGACAGTCCAAGATCTGACTCTGAACAGGAGGTAATAAAGAGGTAGATCAGTAAGTATTCTTCCTAGAAACGTGTGGTAATTGACTTTGTGTTTGGAGATGAGAATTCCAGAGATAAGGAGAGGAGAACAACGCAAGACCAGCAAAGACTGATGAGGACATGAAAAGCTTTATAAGACAGCCTTGCAGAAGAAATGAGAAGGAAGTGAGGAGGAAAGGACAGAGTATAAGCAAAAACGATGAGTAGGACTTCAGTTAGGGCAAGGTTCACTCTTCAACAGAGCTGTGGTGGCAGCAGTTTAAGGAGCCTGAGGAACACACACTGCTCCCAGTTAGTGCCTCAAAAGTCATAAAGTACTTCAGGGACAGCTTTTGTAGGGTAAGGTTTGAGGTAGGGAAGGAATAGGGATAAGGAGAGGCACTCCAGGGGCTATAACAGTACTGTAAATGAATTTACAGATGAAAGGGAGAGGAAGGAGCAATTGAAGGGGCAAATGAAGTCAAATATGGGTTTAAGACATGAAGAGGAATACATGACTTTATTGTGAGAACTGAAAACTACCTTAGAGTGAGAGACAAAAAGGAAGAGTAAGGGAAGGGACAAGAGCAGGATGGGAGAGATGGGAAAAATGGGAGATGACACTGGCACAAGGCAAGGTGGGAAGGAGCTGTAATTGGGACACAGAAAGGAGGAGGCAGCCAGCGAAGGGGGCACCAGCCAAACGAGGCTGGGAAAGAGGATGAAGATCTTCTCTGTCATTTTTCATTTGGAATAAATTGGTGAAATTCTGTGAAGAGAGAGACGTAGAGATAGGATGAAAGAAATATTTTGTGAAAAAATATTGTTTGGGAAAAGACAAAAGCAGTAAGATGTGGTTGTGATTGCCAACAAGTCTCAGTTGTAGAAAAAACAGCAGAATTTGACATCAAAATATAAAGAGGAGTAAATCGCTCAGGGACGAAAGAATGTCGTGTATACAGAATCAGAGTGTGTGCCAGTGAGGAAAGGGTTAGTAACTACCATACATTAATCTTAGTAATTTCATACCACCACAAATTTCATCATATGCTTCTCTTTTTTCAGCCATTGCATTCAGCTATCTGTGCCTGCTCTCATTGGAACTATATGTATTTCTGTAGCCAAATGTTTGTACCTTTACCAAAGCATTTTGAAAGCTTAAATATTATTAAATGAATAGGAAAGTATTGAGGTTTTTAAATTTTCTAACTTGCATTTCTATTTTTCCAATTTCAATTGATCCCTTCTTAGACGATTTGTTAATTTCCCTACTTGATTTTTTACATCCATTTTTATAAAGTGTACTGTAATCTCCCAACTTTTACAGGAAGACATAGAGGCCAGTATTAGTTGCTATAACATACCTAAAATAAGAGACATGGTCTTAGGTTCATGAGAAGTGACTTAGGTGATGAGAAGTCATGAACAGATACAAATATAGGTGATTGGAACTTATATAGTAATTTATATTATGTAACTTGATGGTGTGCTGAGGCTTTGGCAATGAGGAACAGGGCAACCAAGTATGGGTGAAGAGGGATAGAAAAGTAATAACTTCATGAAGCACTGCAGGTGCTGGAATTGAAATAACAAGTAATAACTTCATGCAGCACTGCAGGTGCTGGAATTGAAAGGCATTTTCTGGAAAATAAGTGTACGTACTGTTCATAGGATGAGTGGCTTCTGGGAGGGAGAAAAAAAGGAAAGAATCACAATGAGCCCTTACAATAAAGCAATTTCTTGGAAGAACATCCATTGCTATGTGAGCAAAGAACTTTTCACAGGACTGGAGCTACTGCGTAGGCTATAGCTGGGGGAAATAATGGACTACATTTCTGCTTAGTAACCATTACTTGATCCTTGCAACTCTTTGCACAAATTGCTTTCTCTTTAGAGGGTCTGATTCAGCTAAGTGGAACTGTTAGCAAAGTAATGACTTTCGGGGGAAGTAATAATCTGTGGGTACAGATGAGTCCCCAGGGCGGTCACCATGGGATGCACACAAACCATGGGGAAAAGGTTGAATTCACAAAAAGCACAAAAAACTGTCAAGTATTTTGGAACACGTTTGCACAACCTGTTATGTTATATTGGGACAACTTGCTGAAATATATATGTATACGTATATGTATATGTATATGTATATGTATATGTATGTGTATATCCTAGAAATTTAAGATGTACAATTTACTGCCAGAAACTAGAACCATAAATGTACTCTATAAACACATTCAATATAAACTAACAAAAATTAATTTTGTTTGTTTTAAAGCAGGCTTAAAGCAATTTTATTTCTACTTCTTTCTATTTTCACTGACGAAGTTAGCTGCTGTATTCAATTATTTTTTCTTTATTATACCTGAAAGTGCCTCAGAGTGGATATGGCTTGTTTTCTTGTGGTTAGAGAGACTTTACAATCAATTTAACCCGTGGGCTGCAAGTAGCTTAGGACAGGATCTCTCCTTACTGTTTTCCCACAGCAATCAGTGCAGTAAGACCCCAGTCTCTAATAGGGATTGTTATGAAATGCAAATAAAAATAATTAATTTTCAAATGATGTAGCAACCAATTAAAAAATAATTCTCTTGTCTCAGAATGGAAAAGTTGAATACTGATTGCCTGAGGGCTGACTTGTTCCTCAGCTATTAAATTATTTGTTGATTTTTTTATCATGATGTGACTCACAGTGTCAGCTAAAAAAATTGCTTTTTAGTCTTTGAACTTTACACTTTTTCCTTAGTGAAGAAATTTTTTTTCTGAAGCATATTAAAGAAAACATTATCCATATATCACACAGACTCACCTGATCTACTCAGTAGGAAAACCTGCCCATGGCATCAGCAAACAGAACTGCAGTAAGTGGTCTGCCAGGAATGGAACCTGCAATTTAGGATCAGTGAAGACATTTGCAAAACAGCTATGAAATGGGAGGGCAATCGAGTCCTTTGTAAAATAAATAGAGATAATCAGAGGAATACAGGAGAAATTTTATCACTGTCTAGCAATCTGGCTGGCTTGCAGTTTATCTTGCATAATTCCCCTAATATGCTCGTGTGTTTATGAGTGATTCCTGCCCTGCTCTCCGGGGCTGAATGCCTGGCTCATGTTGCTGCTCCACTGGTTTCTGGTCGCTGACAGCCCCGGGATGTTTTACGGATCAGGCTCATCATTTGCTTTGGTCAAGCCTCAGTATGCCAAACACGGCGTTTCAGAGGTAACCTTCTACGGGGAAGTTTGGATAGTCGGTTTTGCATCGTGTGCAGCAGAGGCTGTGAGCTGTGAGGGCTGTGAAGGCTGTGAGGACTGTGAGGGCTGTGAGGACTGTGAAGGTTGTGAGGATTGTGAGGGCTCTGAGGGCTGTGAAGGTTGTGAGGACTGTGAGGGCTGTGAGGGCTGTGAGGACTGTGAGGGCTGTGAGGGCTGTG